ATTAAAATTCCATAAATCTTCCTCGCATTTATCCTTTCTTTTCGAAGTGTTTATTTCCCTAAAACAAAATAAAAATCGTAAAAATATCATTTATTATCATAACCGTTCCAAAACAATATAATTACCGTTCCAATTCAACCAAAAGAAACCCATAATTTCCCTTTATTAATATTCATATATTTTTTATTTCCAAAAATATTTACCCCGAAAAAAACACCCTTCAACATTTTTTTTAAATTCAATTTTTTCATTATAATATTGAATTAATATATATTTAATATTTAAATTGTTTTTTAAAAATTATTCATTATTATATTTAATAAAATTATATAATTATTAATTCAATTTAAATATATTCCTATAAATATATAAATATTTTATATATATAAATATTTCTTTATTCATTATAAAATTCAAATCTATAAATAATTAATAAAATATAATAATTGATTTAAAAAACCATAATATATACAATAATAATAGGTTTTTGTATATTTTATATAAATTATAAATTATATTATATTCCATCGTTTATGTTCTATTTATTTCGAATTGTTTATAATCGTTTAAATTGATTTATAATAATATTAATCGAAATATTTCCTCGACCATTATTAAATAGAATTGCTATATTTCGAATAATCCTCACCAAAATATTTCAATATAATTACCTTCAATCCAATCTATTCAATACCTAAAACAATCAAATATCAGAAAATTAAATCGTTCATTTCATTCATCCGGGCCCCAACCTTCGGAGAACCTTTGAAATTTGCAAGGCCCTAGTAAGAGTAGTAGCGATAGTAATAGTTCAAATAATAATGGTAATAGCAATAGTAGTAGTAATAGTAGTGGCAAAAGTAGTAGCACCTGTGATTTCTTCCACTCGCTACCCTTAATGGCTGCACGACCTGCTTGCTCCATTTGTTGCAGCAACTCTTCTGCTGATCTCCTGCCTCCTCAAAGCTTGAATAGTTGGTCATTGCCCCATCAATATCATCTTGCAACCAGCCGTCTCTGCAGAATCTGTTCCTATTGCTGGGAATATACCATTGTTCCCAATCTTGTCTTTTCTTCACCCCCAAGGGAAAACCATGTCTCATCCACCCGGGCAACGTTGCCGTGTCTCTGTCAGCAGCGTTTTCTAGAAGCTGCTGCCATACATCTTTTTGTTTCCCTGTGTCTGACACCTCGGCGTCAAACTCCACCGCAAAAGCCTTTCTCGCTTCTAATATCCATTCTCTGGGTCCTCCCGCGAAGTCCTGACACTGTATTTGCCTTTCCGTCATGCGATCTTCTACCACGCGTCCAAAGACCACCACGCTTGGCATCACCTGATTGGCCTGCTAAGCTGTGGATCTCCCTAGCCCTCCGGATGTTCGTCGCTCCTCAACACTGGTACGGTACTTGCCCGAATTCGTCCGAACTTCGTGCCCGTGTCAGAGTTCGACATGGAGGCGCGAAGTGTCCGTGGTCGATCTCAGTGGCACATAGGCCTGTTGCGGCTTTGTAGATTTTTGTTTGCCAAAACGTTCCACCCCCCAGCATATCCGTCCAATGTTGCCCAGATGGAAATCTTCCCGCCTGATATGAACCTCTGCTTCTGAGAGGCCTCCCATTCCAGCAAGGAACTCTGCAAATACAAATTGTCTGCATTGACCTTGCATTGAAACATCATTGTCCTTCTTTATGAATTCAGCTGTAACCTTCACGTCTTCCGGTTCAAGAACTATTTGCTCCTCCCCCGAATCCGAGCAATCACGCACGCCATCTGCTTCCCGTCACTTTCCCTTTCCACCTCCACCCATGTCTCCAGCCTTGCCCTTGGCACACTGCACATTTGGACGCTGTCCAAGACATATAGCTGACAAACATGGGCTCGACGGTCGCTGCAAGGCTCCTGACAAGCACCCAGCTGGCCTTTGGCAACCTCGTAACAGATCTGATTCCCATCTCGGCAAGTCACAAAGAACTGGCCATCGTAACGTCTTGGGCACTGCATCTTCACTTTGCCTTCCGCCTTGCTGCTTCCTGCTCCTCTCCAACTGTAAGAGTCATACTGGCTCGTTGACTGAATTCGGCTCTTCCTCCAATCATCTTCTCTCTTTTCCTTCTCTCTCCTCCGACGTTTGGCACTCTTCGATTCACCTTCTCCATGAGGCCGAGGAACTCCTTGTGACACTCTTGAAGCATCCTTCTCTGCATCAGTCATGTCCATTCCTTCTGCCTCCTGCTTGCTCATGGATCTTCCGCCCTGCCGTGCAATGAAGGCTTGGGCTGGAATCTGCGCGACTTCTTGATTCCAATATGCCTGATCTCTTGCAGCATGGGTGAACACCCCAATCCATGGCTGTCGAACGTCGAAGCTGCGGTCCATTGGCAGTCGAGCCTCGATTGCTGCGCTTGTCAATGAACGTCGAATCCTCTCCAAATGATCACTGCGGCGACGATCTTCTGCTTGAAAAACTAGATGCAAACATTCTGGATGCTGTCGATTCAATGTTGCAATGTTCCTGAAATATTCATCCAACGCTGCCCAAGTTATCACAGGTTTCTTGTCTCCTCCAGGAACGACAGGATTATGACGAAGCATCAACAAAATGGTTCCTGATTCCTGTAGACATCCCAACGTGAAGTCCATGCAGAGAAGTTGGGGGGACCAGCCACCTCTGTCTGCTTCCAAGTCCCGTCGTCTTGCAAGAGGAAAACCTTTGGCCTTCAGCTGACGTTGTGTCCTCCACGCATACGGTGTGAGCACTGAGAAACATGCGTATGGAGCAGCTTGCCGGGCGACAACCTTGTTGATCATCACTGTCAGCCCATGACCAATCTGTATTGCGCACAGGCCTCGTCCACCTCTGCCTTTCCAACTAGTTCCAACTCCGTGTCGTCCAGTTGGTCAGCAATCTGTGAAACTTTTACCTTTTGCACTCCCAACTGCATTTGCAATTCCACCCACTGCAATTGGTGTCGGTGCCAGTGCAGTTGCTGGTGTACTGGGGGCTGACAAATTTGCTACTGCACCTGGCGCTAACAAATCAATGTCAGAGAGCCCAAAACATTTCCTGGGCGTGGTCGTGGGTTTGTGCCTGGGCGTGCTGTGTGTCTCGACCGGCACCGAGTTGTGCAGAGCTTCAACTGTGTAGTGTTCCGGTGGAGGTCATCGCATTCCGCCGGCGTGGATCGGCCCATGGCGAACAGCCCTTTACCTACGGACACAGAAATAGCCACCCTAACAGACTTGACCGCAATCGTTAGGTGGTGTGCCTTGGATGCTCAGGTCTGGCGGGAGATCAATGCAGGGTAAATACCCGGTTGCTGGCTCATGCCCCTCCGGAAGGGATCGCCACAGCTCTCGATCATATGGAGCTGCGAAGAGTGGGGATTGATGGGGCGCCCCTTGATCCTCCAACTAGGCCGTTGACAATGGTGGAGACGGTGCAAACAGCATTGGCACAATGGCCAGTAAGGCCTCGAACTCATCCATTGCAAAGCTCACATCCCTGGCCCATCTTGAGCCAAAATGGACCAGGAGAACAAGATGGGTACCACCTGACCTCAGCTAACTTTCTTTCTTTCGAAAATGCGTTTGTCCATCAAAAGTAGTCAAGGTACCGCTCATGTTTATAAGGGTCTGTGTCCCAAATCACCTATCGGCTGGCTTTCATAATAAAGTTACAATAAATTGGCAATACTTCAATGACCAATTCCTTCATTTTTCTCAAATGAAATGTTTCTTTTCGTAATATTGCATACGATTAAAGAACATCATCCCCAGGATTGATACACAAATCACCTAGCACACACAGCTCTGCGGTCATCACAAAATGAACACCCTCAAACAGCACAAACAAAAGCAAGAATCAAAATAAGGGTAACGCCCCTTCAATAAGGTCCAAACAATGAGAAAGAAAAGCAGTTGGCTTTGCGAGGAGCCTGGCGTCGCAATTGCAATCGAAGCAAGCAGTCTGGTATTATATACGTAGCTGTGCAAGCAGGCTCGCATAGCATACCACTACACCATACATACTTCATTACAAACAAGACCTTGACTGAGAAGGTGATCATCTGATGGCAACATAAAGCATTTTCTCCACAAATCCAAGTTGCAAGGTTCGGGCGTTTGGGGTTCAATGGTTGAAGAAGCAATGCTCAGCTGAAATGTGTGACAGTTTTTACAGATCCTATGAAGGCTATGCAGCTTAGCCTGCAGAAGCGAAGTCTTTCACTGTCTGTGCTTTCTCGGCAACCACATGCACCTGCAGAGATGCCCCACAATTTCATCCAGAGTCAAAGGGTTGTGTTGAAAGCAAGTTGACTATAGAAGATCCACAATTCATTGAAATAGGATTTTATGCTGATTACTCGCTCAGCATACACAGGTGCCCGAAAGTGCTAGCCCTGCCTTTTGCTTGCTGCCTTCTGCGGAAGCAAAATTCTTGCTGGAATCCTTGCGTGTCGCAAAATGTAAACCACGAGATAGCAGGAGAGCTCCCTCCGTCTCAAGCCTTCAGCTTCAGCGCAGCATTGCGGGCTTGCTCCAAAGCCACTTCGTGCACCTCCTGGCATAACTGGACTTGAGAGAGGAGGGGGTGAACGAAAGGTAGCAGGCAATCACGAGTAACCCTGGTAGAAGTTCTTGACAGCGTGAACCGGCGCAGGGGGGATTTGATCCAGGGGGGGCACCCGAGGCCCCCCCCCGACGAACAGAATCATCTCTTACAGGACCAAACTCAATGCACAAACCCAACTCCAGATTGTAATACCTGTTTGCTAAAGTAAGGAGATACCTTTCGTGATGAGTCGGCAATTGAAAAGACGCTTAGCACCTCTGAAGCGGTCCATGTGTCCTTCCCCATTGTCAGCAAAGTCTTCACTTTGTTGACGTGCGATTGGATGGCCTGTGGGCCATAGACACTAGGAGCAAGGACGCTACTAGGAGCTCCTGGCCTTACTACTAGTAACAAGAAGCTACTAGGAGCTCCTGGCATCGCTACTAGGCCATAGACACAAGTCAGTGAACTTTGGGCCCTTCGACCCTCAAGTTTACACGCCCACCTCTGCATGAATTTGTCCATCCTCGGACGACCAAGCCTCCCAAGAAAGTTGTAAATTATGACCAAATCGATTTGGTAATCTTTTCTGGCAAGCTACTGAGCTGCCTGGAATTGCTCCTTCTCTCTCAAGTAAACGATGTAAACTCCATACTTTGATGGATACGAAGTGTAAGCTTTGTACAATCTGCATCTTCAACATCTCTGTTAGGTCAGTAGGTGTTAGGTGATGAAGTCTCCGGGTGCAAGAGCGCCGCACTAGCAGGGACAGAGGGTGGCCGACTCTTCGTGTTCTCCAAGATCATCCACTACCACAATTGTGCCTGAGACTCACTCATCCTTTCTGATCAAAGTGGACTATTTGCTCATCCGAACTTGAGTCATGCATCTCCGCGGTTTGAAGAAATGATGCAAATGCTCACCTGACGTGACACGGTCAGCAAGTCTGCAAAACGTCAGAAAAGAAAAGACCAAATCATAAACTCAGCCTCAAAGCTCCTTCAGGTCACACTTTTCGCAATCAAGTTACCGGTGGTGAGATTCCACATGTCCACATTGTAGTCCCAAGAAGCCGTTACCAACCGGCCCAGCTGCCAATCCACATCCATTGCCACAGTCATGTTGTGCTTGCAGTCCAAAGAATTTTCCCAAGATGTTTCCCATTCTTCGCCGGCTTCAGTATGGAGATTCCAAATCTTTACAAGCCCATCATCCGAAGCAGTTGCAAGCTTCCCATTCTCTGCATCGAGGCTCATGCCTGAGATGTCAAGTCAGAAGGACAATTCACGACTGGCCTTCTGGCCTTCTGGCCCTGGCATACTGGCCAAGCTACAATTCACGTTGTGCCCAGGGGACTCATAGCTTTGCAGGAGTTTCCTCTCCCTCAAGTCCCACAGCATGAAGCGGTATTCATTGGCGGATGAGACTGCCACCATACTCTCAAAATCCACATCTAGAGCATAGCCTTCAGAAGGCATACGAACAAAAGCCATGCTTAAGCATTCTGCCCCACCCGTATCATGTTGCATTTCTATGTCAACAGAATGCCGCGCTTGGCACTCACATTCACTGGTATTCACCCTAGGCCAAGCAGCAATTGCTGTTGTGCCCAGTGAGCCTGTGAGCCAACTTCGCCGAGCGCAAATCCTCAGTCAAAACCTATCCAGTGGACGGAATTCTGTATTCCGGACGGTGTATGAGATAAATTGAATTGACCTGTAGCCGATTGGTTCCCGCACAAGACACTATGGGGCAGGGTTCGGAGGTGTTCTCTCAGCAGTCCGCAAGTCGTGGTTCCATTTACCAGTTCACATTTGCGGCGCTCTGTACTCTTACACAAACCTATATCCAAACTCTAAGCCAAACTCTGATAAAATAACCTGGCGAAGTCTCGTAGAGGTGCACGTAGCTGTCCCAGGAACAAGACACCACAAGGTTCTTCTCCCAGTCAACAGCAAGAGCCTTCCATCAATATTCAGACAGTTTCATCAATCTTGATGGACAAGAGCTGCCCTGGCCTTGCAGTGGTCTTGATGCCCGATCAGTGACCTGTAACTCTGCTTGACACCAAGTCTTAGACAAGCACAGAAAAACAGACCAACTCACTTGCAAATCTTTGCATCTGGCTGGCGAAACAAACTCTTTGGTCTGAAAGTCCAGAATCTTGATCCACCCGAAGTTTGTTCCCAGTGCCACCCGTCCTGTCCCGACGTCAGCAGCCTCATGTGTGCTTTCACTAGAGGCTGCTTAGCCCCGTAAACATATTACCACGAGGAGCAGAAAATTGGATCAGCAAATCAAAAGGACAAAACTTAAGAGACCTCAGCAAAGCGGCCACGCATAAGAATCCCTGATTGTCGTGTTTGTCCCTCTTGAATTCAATTGTTTCCTTCCACGTGGAAAACAGAGATTCCCATGAACAAAAGGCTTGTGCAAAACAGCACAAAGAAAGCTCCAGACAAGGCCGATTGCAGCAACAACAGAGATTCAATACATCCAAAACCCAAGCCTCTTTTATTCGATAGAGGTTAACCTTGTTGTCGATTCCACAGGTCACAGCCTCCATGTGCTGCCTCAATGCCGCCACGGTTGAGCCAAAGAAAACATAACGAAAGGTATGTTGAAGTCATAAATGATAACAGAATCATCAAAATCTTGGAGCACTATATAACCCCTATTCGTTGCAGTCGAGTAGCCAGTCCACAACAAAGTCCGCACAAGGCGCATTGTGGAGTTTCTTGCACCTGCCGAACTAAAATGGACGAAAACAATGCGGACACTGGCGGACCCTGGCGGAGCCTGGACAGTTCTTTCTCCCTGCTCGCGCGACCAACTCACGCTGTGCACCTCACCACTGGAGGAACACGATTGCCTTCGATCACCGGCCACAGAAATAGAAACCCGTCGCAACCTGTCGCTGCCACCCAATCCGCCTGAAATAACTGTCAAAAATCACAGCAAAATAGGCCCCTCAAAACCAAACAGCTGAGCAGCATGAATCTGCTAGTCTCAGGCAATGGCAACGGGTTCACCAACAAATGTTGTTTTTTGCCACACAATGCTGATCTGGAACACGTGAGCCTTTTTAATGTGCCATTGCAGCATTGAAGCACGGCAATATGTCGGGATATGGCAAGCCACATGTGCCCACACATGTGCCCACACATGTGCCCACACGTGTGCGCGCAAGACAACGCCACAACAAACAAGAACCAGTGAACCTGCTCCGGAACCCGCTTTGGAGCCATGTCACCGCTAAAGCCGCTAAAGCATGACCTGACTTCAGCATCTCAGCGTCACAATACGTTAACATATCATGCTATGACCCATGTCAGCATGACAACATGTCAGCACGACGGCGTGAGTCAGCACGACGGCGTGAGTCAGCGTGAAAACATGCCAGCATGCTGACACGTCAGCACTACGGAATTGACTATCTCACATACTAGCATGTCAGAAATATATGTAAAGTCCTCTTGACCTTGTGCCGGAACCTGCTCCGGAACATGTTCCCGAACCACTTGCTCCCGAACCTGCTCCGGAACCTGCCCACCAACCTCCTCCAGAACCCGCTCCAGAACCTGTTCCAGAACCTGCTCTGATGTGCTTCGAAGTCTTTACTATGGCTGAAGGCCCCCAAGCTTCGCAATGGAGACAAACGAATGCAAAACAGGCATTCTACAACCTAGAACCTTCCGGCAAGGGATAGGAGCAACATGTTTGCGTCAATACAAAGCAAAGCCGATATAAATGAAAAATGTTTTCCAAATTGCCATGGTTCGTAATGACCAAAAGACTCATAGTCCACTTTGGGCACGCTCCATTTCGTATGATGGCCTCGGCAACTGTGGCATCTTGATGGAGCACTTTCGGGGGGGTTGCTATGTCTTCTGTGAAGTGGTCATGCAAAGCAAGCGCAACAACAATTCCAGGCTAAGTTCATGTCTGCTCGCTTCCAAATGTAGGGGAGCAGTCAAGTCGTACTGATCAATCATCCAGTCATCCTTAAAATGACGATCATCCGGGCTTTCGCCAAAATATTGTTGTCTTCCCTCTATCCTTGCTTCCCCTGCACTCAAGTGTTTCAACCTTGTCATTGCTATTGTCTTTCCTTGCGAAGAACAGCTTCCAGCTGAGAAGCATGCAGAAGTTTTTCTGACAGAAACCGACGAGCGTGTTGACAGTCCAGCACAAGCCTCAAATGAAAGGACAACCAGAAATGTTTCAGAATCTCACCAAGACAATGGCACGTTCTGGTATTTTACCATATCTTGGGTCTTGATCTTATCAACAGCCTGATAAGGGAGAGGTCGAAAGAAACCTCTGTAAAAAAACATTGTTGTTGTTATGGGGTGATATAGGATGAAATCGACATTACACTTCCTTCTACTGCTGTGAGCCACGCGAAAATACAAGGCAAAGAGGCGCAAAATTTCGCATGGAGGCTCGATATGAAAGAGCCTATATACACAAGGCCTTGATCAACTCCCATCGACTGTTACTGGTCATAGGATAGAATTGGATCTGATGTTCTTGCACAATGGTCCAATTCTGGGACCGACAGTTGAGGGTTTCAAAAGAGGACCCCAAGCAACTCAGGAGCTGTTGGCTGCATTCTGTTTCCCTCACCTGTCTTCTACCTGGACTTACAAACTTGGTGAGCACACCTCAGTATGGGGTGCCCTTGTCCATTGCAATCATCTCCCTTTTAAGAGCAAGGAAATCTTATATCACTATGCAGTTGTAAAGGTGAAGCCTGCAAATGTCCAGCCAAGTTGTGGAACGCTATCTGTACAAGAGTTTTCAACTTAGAGGTTCTTGCTTCCACAAAGCCTCGTCGTTTCTGTCCTCTAACTGGATGGACACACCTGGTCAGTTCACCTCAGTGTGGGGTGCCCTCCTTTGTTGCGTTTCTTGAGGGGAGTGTACAAAGAGCATCTGATATCAAGAGGCTGGGTATTCGGAACGGTGTCCCTATGAGAGTTTAAAGCTTTTTTGGAGGTTCTTGCCTGCACTCAGTCTCCTCTCTCTTGTTTTCGACCCGCATGTAAAAAACTGGTGAACTCATTAGTAGCTCACCTTACTGTGGGGCACCCTTGTTTGTTGCATTTTTTAGGGGATGAAAAAGGGCATCCAGTATGAATAGTTGTCAAAATGAAGCTTGCAAATGTTATTCAGTCTCTCCCCTGTCCTGTTTCTACTCGGTCTCACATCCCTGGTTGGTAGTTGGGACGCTGGTCACTATCGGCTGGTTTTCGTAAAACGCACGTCAAATGCCATGTGAGCAGCAGCGGATGTTTTTGGTGGTGAACTGAATCATCTTTGGTGTATTTGAATGACCGTAGATGTGTTCGAAATCATCCGAAACGGTGGTCCAAACAAAAGCAAAGCAAACACGACATCAGAAGTCTCCAGAAGTCACGACGCTTTCATGAGATCCTGGACAAGTGCGGCATGGTGCATTTGCAGTGTGGTTCCCATGTATTTTTAGCTGGAACTCTCTACTGCTCGATAAGTGCATCATCTGCTTCAATTTTGCCAGCTGCCAGCAGCCTCAGACATAAATTGACGCCCAATTTATCTGACGCGCGGAGCGGACATGGTCACGCACGTCGAGGTCGAGGTGTTGAGTGTCTTTACATCTGCTTCTGCGGGGCGCCCCTCTTTGTTGCAGCTCAGGTATGTGCGGGGGAGTAAACAGGACACCCCTGTAGCTGCAAGTGTCGGGAACTTCCGCGCTGAGTTCACTCTCCCCTCTCCACACCTGTTCAGCTCTCTACCACCCAGTCAGCTCCTCAGTGTGAAGTGACCTTGTTTGTTGCGTTTCATGTCACGCCGCTCCCCTCCTGTCCTCTACCCGAACTCCCACCCCTGGTCAATAGACAATCTAAACAGTCTCCTGAGCACTTTGTAACGCTAATGATGCCCTACACAGGATCATTTGCATCACTCGCGTCACCAAGACCTCCTAAAACATGCATGTCACTACCTTTCTGAACCTCGTGTTTTTTCGCACTCCTTCGCCAGGCTCGGGGTTCACCCTACCCGCCGCGACTCTAAGACTCCCCCGACACCCCCTATGACTCACATCGCTCGCCGATGATCAAGAACAAACCACGCCGAGCTGCCGATCAATGTCGCCATACCGTGCTTCAAATAAACGCATCTCCTCGAGTCCACTTCCAAACACGCCAAGAAGAAGTATGACTACACAGTTTCCGGAATATCAAGTCTGAGTTTGGATGTGTGTGACCTATCACTTGAGGCCGGGGGCTGGCGACGAAAGCTATGTTATGGAAGGTCTCTTGTTGCCAAATGAACCCGCCGGGTGGGGGTGAGGGTCAAACCCCCCGCAGTGGAGCGTATAAGACAACAATACGCCCTGGAAGTACTCACAGTCCAACAGTCCGCACAAGAGCGAGTGAGCCAAATGTTATGGCAAGACTTGAGCATTGCGTAAGAGCATATCACTAACAGGAACCAAGTTGAAGCAACAACGTGAACAGGGATGACCAAAACAGAAAACAAAACAGACAAATTTTCTTTGCTCTGGAGCATGCAAGTGCCTCGCAACTGTACAAACAGGCTGAAAACTGTTAAACTAAAAAGCAAAGCTACGAAGCTGAAAGAGGCTGCCACGCAAAACGGTGCATCTACTGAATTATGACCGCTAGAGCGGTTCACCGCGCTCAGGGCAAACGAAAAAGAATGGAAAGTGAAAAGAACTCCGCGTTAGCTCTTACCGAGCATCTCGAGGCTCATCCTTCCTGATCCAACGTCCTCGTTCTGACCGAGAACGTTCCTGCTCTACATCAGGGCCGGTAGATCGGCCTCTTGGATTGGCTGCTCGGCGCTGGCGATCGATTCTCTGCGGAGCGCCAGCCTTTGACCGTGTCCTTTGTTTGCGGTCTGCGAAATTCCGAGCAGCGCAAATGAGTGGTTCGCGCCAATCCTTATCAGAATCTGGCAAGAGCAGGTCAGCGTTGATCAAAAGCTTGAGACAACTTGGTCTCCTTCAATTTGTTTCTTGGATCGCCTTTAACTAGACACTCTCCATTTTTTAGCCGGATGTTTGAGACAACATTGTAGCTAATGCGGCGATCAATCTCGCGGAGCTTGTTGACTGCCGTTAGTATGGCTTCTACAAACTCGATACAGAGAGATGTTGAAAATCAGGCTCTCTCCGGCGAAGTTCCGCCGCAGAGCACGTCCACCTCCGCTAGAGCGGTATACACGATCGACGTAAAGTCGGATCGTAAGAGGTTGAAGCCACCCTGTTCCTTGCGCAACATCTTACTGTTGATGTGGAAGTTGCACACTCGCACCTCATTGACCTCCATACGCATTTGATCGCTTCTGGACAGTCAACAGCTTCAAAGAACTGCGCGGCAGAACTTGCTACGTCTGTTGGAAGTTCTTCTGATTTATCAGCTGCTAGAGCGGCCTCTTCCTCTGCCTGGGGCGGCTCTGTACCCAAGGCTTGGAAGTCTTCTGTCGCAGCGACCTTTGCAGGCTCTTCCGCTAGAGCGGAATCGGATGTCGAAATGCAACGACGACCTGTCGTCGTAAGAGTTTCGTCAATCATCTCTTGACTGGGAGAAACAGGGAGGTCTCCTTCGCGAACTTCTGAAATCAACCTTGCTTTAAGCTGAATTGGATCCGGCGCAATCGGATCTTGCGCCGGTAGAACGGCATTGTCGACCTCTGGAAACATCTCTGAAGATGAACCGTCTGTGTCCCCAGACGGCGTGCGATAGCTGCAAACACCTGCCGGCGCATCTGGTCGGTCTCTAGAGCGGATTCCCCACCTGGTCTACATCCATAGGAGCTGCCATACTCGACTCACCGGCTGGCTCCTGGCGCTCAGCGGCAAACTGAGACGAAGGTATACGAATCGAAAGCTGCGCGTTTGAGAGCTGGTATAACAAAATGGCTTCTAGCGCGCAGAGACAAATTTTCTTGAGAAGGAAAATGCGTTCAAACAAGAAAGGCAAAGCCGTCCGCCAAGTCGCTAACGCGACAACGTTTGAGGTCTTGACGACCAAAGAACACTGCGCGCACCTCTTCAGCTTTATCTTCAGCAAAGAAGCTTACTATACGGTGTGGTTCCTTACAGTGTTGTATGACCGTTCAGCACTTGTGTTTAACAAGTGCACGAAACGGTGGACGCATGTCCACTGCCACAAACGTGCCTGTCTCTACAGAATTTATCAGTTGGTCAGGCTTAGCGCTATGTTTGGTCAGCAGATCAGCTAAACAGTATTCGCTTGTCACGTGGCTTAAGTCGTGAGATTGGCCGGTATTGCTCCCACGCCTCATCATTTTGACTACTCTTGTCGGCATTGTTCCTGTAGGATGCATCTGGGAAGCCAAGGGTCCGTAGCGGTCCCCTCAGTGGCCAGAATCTTGCGTCAGCATATTGACACTTGAGTGTTCTCACTACTTCGTTGAGTTCTCGACAGTCACCGATAGTCGGTTTAGCAGCGCGTTGCAACAAAGGCGTACTTGTGTTCCACACTGTGGCCAATTAAGTTGACCAAGAACACTGCAGTAGGCCGTATGCATCTTGGGATCACAAGCAAGATTGCCCTTAGGACGCCCCACTATCTTGATCTCTTCTACGGCATCTACAGCTAGTTTCTGGTCTACACTGACATACGGTCTACGTTTATCATGGGTCTTCCATTTGATGCGTTGTCCTACAAACATGATATCATCCTTGTCTTCGGATCCGACAGAGAAGTCCTTTCTTATATTGGCAAGTATATTGGACTCAACGCGTAGACACACGAAACCATGGATTTCTCGTCCATTTGCATTCCTCCATAAGGTATTCAAGCGCGGCATCAAGAGTGGCCAGGCCATCTGACGTTCTGTTTCTGTCTACCTTCCTGGTTGAGATCATAAAGGACATAGGTACAGCGATCAGCACAAGTCGGAACTAGGCCGTAACTGGTGAGTGACTTGTCCACAAAAATTCCAATTTACGGGGCGCATCATTGAGACCATGTCCAGGCTTCTTCAGACGAGCTGCCATGTATGGTGGATATCCTAGTTCAGGCGGAATTTGGCAAATGACATCACGAGACTCGTCATACGCTTCTCCTTGCAAGGCGCTGTCTTCAAGTCCATGTGAAACAGCGACCAACGAAGGTTCGCAGCTACCTGGGTTACACAACGGAATAAACCTGATCTAGACGCTGCTGGTGAATCCGTTTGCCGTTGCTGTTTCTGCTAGTCTTCAAATCCTCTGAGGCCTTGCGCTTCAAGAACTTACCATCCTTGTCGCGCTTCAGGGTTAAGACCCATCGTCTGGAAACAAGATTACGAACGTGCAGTTTTCTGGTATCAACAAGATCACAGACATCGTTGTCTATCGAGTCTATCCACAATCGCATTTCTGCCATCTTCCAAGCGTTTCTCTTGTTGAGTTGCTTCCTTGCGCTTCTTTCCTACCAAGCAGGCAAACTTATCATCTGTGGACGTGAACAGTGTCGAATACGCCTTGTCTTCCTTACTTGGCCCCGATAAACTTCTTCAATGTCTGATCTATTCTGTGGGCGCGGCCGCTTCGTAAACCGGTAGTTCGGTCTAGCATGTAAATCCACATAGCGGCCATTACCTGCGCATACAAACGTTGACTCGACTGTACGAACATTCACGGGCACAGAGTCGATGCACCTAGATACTGAGAACGATGTTGTGTTCGAGCACAACTTGCGTTCGGCCATCCATCGCGCCTTGTCTATGTACAGTGCATCTAGGTCAAACGAGTCAGAGTCCGTCTCATTGTCTTCTTCACAGGTGACATATTCTTCTTCTACAGGTTCTGGAACTTGTGTTGGTTCACCGGGAATCGTTTCGACGTCACTGTCTGCTTCTTCAGTCGGAATCGGCAATAACATTGTACCGAATTTTACCGGTAGTCGGCTGTAACGCTGGTTGCGGCGAAGCGCGCCAAACATCACCCCCAGATGGTTGCTAGGAGGCTGACTAGAGGACGAAGCAGGCATCTGCCTAGCGGAAGCAGGTATGGAGACAACCACCTTGGGTGAATAAGGTAACCTAGGATTAATGGCCGTATGGATGGTGACATCAGGTAGTCGCGACTGATGTCGCTTCTGTGGTCCAGTAGGTAAGGCAGGTTGGTCTGGCGATAGAAAAGGTCTTGATGGAGGATGAGGTGGTGGAGTCTGTGGCGACTCCATGTCACGGTCGTCGGTGGAGTGGACACGTCAAATCAAAGTTTTGTGGCCCAGTGCGTGGAATGGTTGGCGCTGGTCCAGGTGGCATTGGAGGCGCTGGTGGTGCGCGTATTGACTCAAATGCCGGGAAGTCGGCATCATCCTCATCCGGAGGATCATTCACCTGATCATCCATATCAGCGTCTTCGTTTGGATCGGGCGCCAAACCAGGATATGGAGGCTCCAACAGGATTCTGTGGCGGATCTTGTTGTCTCTGAGGCTTCTTGCAGTAAAAGACTGTCATCCAGCGCTGTGGATTGAGCTCATCTAAAGCTACACGTTGGCGATCCATCACATAGATCTTGGAGAAATTGTTTTCCTGTGCAAAACGACACCGGGCTTATCATATAGCTTACGAAGGTCAACAAAATATATCTTTCATGACTGAGGCATTTTGAAACCTGAGCGTTGGAACAAAGAACTGACGCAGCACTCCAAGATACTGACCAAACGTAATTTTGTAACTACCCGGCAATGTTTCAGTTCCCCTTGGCACACGAGTGAGATGGTTCATAGCTTCTCTTACTTCGCGATTGGTTACGGCAATTGCGCGGTCAGCAAACATATGCGTAACCCGTTGCGCGGTTCTGTGCGTAACATGCGCTGAAAATCCGCTTGACAAAGCAAGACAAGTGACTTCAGCTCATTGCGTGATACAATACTGTTTGCTATGTCTTCCAAATAAACCAGTTGTAAGCAAACAATCCAATTTCCTAATGGAAGAATGCAACGAATTATTGCACGACAAAACGCATAAGGGTAAACCTGCGCGAGCTTTGTGCGTGATCCGTAACCAGGCGCGTTTCCTTCCAGCATCTGGTGTTTGTGGTTACCGTAAGCGCGGTTCACCCCCGAGGCTCTTGCCTTCTTCAGTGGACAAACCTTGAAAACAGGATCCAGCAAACCTTCAGGAAAGTTGCGCGT